AGAAGGTTGAAAATAGAAATACCTTATGATCCAGCAATTCCTCTACTTGGTATTTACCCACAAGAAAAACGAGCCACAACACGAGAAGATATATACACACCAAAGTTCATAGCAGCACTATTTATAATAGCAAAAAGATGGAGGCAGCCAAAGTGCCCATCAACTGAAGAATGGATAAACAAACTGTGGTACAAAAAGGTATTTGGAAGATAGTCATCAAAAGACATGGTCACTGGATGTATGGTATGAAGAAGGAGTCAAGAATGATTCTCGTGTTTCTGCAAGAGCAACTATACTTCCTTATAATTCTACCTATCTGAAAACTAAACCAATTCTACATCATCAAAACTATAACTGAAGAGTAAACTAATGTAATCTGAATATGGAATTCAAGCTAGTGTATTATTCTTTGTATGAAATTAGAATGGCATTTTCTAGAAATAAATATAAAAACATCAATGTTATTCATCTGAAATCTGCATTGATCTCAATCTTATGTTTGGATTTGAGAGTTGATATTTTTTCTTATGGAAATAGTAAACGCATGATTTCTATCAGCCAGCTGTTGAGATAACCCTACTGAAGTGCCCCTACTGAATAATTCCTTGTAAATGGGGTTTTACCTTTTAAAAAATTATTTTAGAATGTTACTGCAGTATTTAGGATAGCTGCATATTTTTTGTAGTTTTCTAGTTCAGTACCTTTCCTGTTTTTGATCTTCACAGTAACCTATCAGTAAGAGGTTTTGATGGGGGCTTTAAAATAGTTACAACAAATGTTTACTATGCCTTACACTTCAATAAACTCACTTCAACCTTAACAACCTTATTAGGCAATTATTATTCCCATTTAACAGGTGAGTCTCCGGACAGCCTCATCTTTCTCCTGCAGAGTGACCAGTGTATTCAAAGTGCTGACCTTGTGGATGTTAACTAATGTGCCCCAGATTATAAAGCTAATAAATGTCAAGATCAAGAATTGGAACCCAGACAAATTCTGTCCTTAATCCCCGAACTCTTGAGAAATTAATCTTTGAGCCTCCCAAGTCTTCATATTAGGATGTTGTTGTTAAGTGCCGTCAAGTCGATTCTGACCCATAGCGACGCTGGTGAGCTTGAACCAGCCACCTTGCAATTCAAACGACTTTGCAGTCTGACACATTAGCCCACAGCGCTACACCAGGACTCCTTTCATATTAGGATGTTGTTGTTGTTGTTAAGTGCCGTCGAGTCGGTTCCAACTCATAGCGACCCTGTACAGGGTTTCCGAGGCTGTAAATCTTTACGGGAGCAGAACGCCTCATCTTTCTCCCGCAGAGCATCTGGTAGTTTCGAACTGCTGGCCTTAAGGTTCGCAGCCCGATTCGTAACCACTACACTACCAGAGCTCCTTCATAAGATTTACATGAGTACATGTTTTACATATAATAAATGAGTCGGTTTCTAAATTATTTTCATTAAAAATTCACAACATCTTATCATTAAAAAGTTAATGCTTTCAATTTGCCTCAACTAGCAACTTCAGAGCAGGAGACTTAATGAGCCAGGGTTTTCATTTAACACAGGTATGTGTAATGGAATGGTGATGAGCGGACCTAAGTCACCCAAGGTACAGCTGAGGAAATTAGAGATCAAAGCTCTGAAACTGCACTGCGGGTCTCGTACATGACGGTGCACAACAGCTGAACTTAATGCTCCACTTAGGGTCGCGCGACAGGAAACAGAGCTCAAACCATCTCTATGGAAAGCGTGCTGTACGACCGAATGGAGGAGTGTGCATAGACTTACATTGTTCATACAGAATTGCATGGCATCGTGTGTATACATCTTTCATCAACCACTATATAATTATTAGGATTAACTTCAAATTTTTAAGTAATTGAAAGTTATTTAGAGTTTAACAGAAAATTTCCATTTCAAAGTTTATAGTTTTCCTTCAACCACAACAACAAAAAGCCTAGAAACTGAAATTACCTGGTAAAGTTCTTTTATTTAGATTCAACCTAGCATATTTTAAATCTCATCTCTCTCTCTGCTAGAGAAATAAAATCTCTAACTCCACAGGTTGTCATCGAAAAGCACTGAATGTGCATATTTCCAATGAGGCCATTTGCTTCCTGTCTGGTCAACAACCACAGTTCTTCACAAGACTATTTCCATGTCAGTGCAGTACTGACATACCCAGAATGCATTTCCTAACTTAGAAAAGTGATTGATTTGTTACCATAACACATAGTCTTTTAGTCTTCTGACTGTTCTGACAATGTTTTGCATCCACACACCCAGTTGGAAGAAAATGTGGTTCTTGGAAACACCACAGCTGGGCTCGGCAGAGCTCAGGCACCTCTGCACGTCAGCAAGCAGCTCTTTCCTTCATGGGGACTGACGTCAGCAAAGGGAGAGTCCAGGCAAATGGCTCAGCTTATGATTTAATTTTCCACAGCTAAGAGAAGAAAATCATCACAGTAAGTGAGTTGTAAGACAAACAGGAAGGAGTTCATAGGTACACTTACCTGACTACAAACTGAGAACATTTGACATAAAAAAAAGGTGTCCATTATGACAACAGCAACCATGGGACACAATGGGGAAAATGAAAAACTTCCAGGATCAAAAATGACACAGTGCAATTCTTGTGGTTCCAGTTTTCATTCATTCTGCCTCTGGACATTTCCTAAGAGAGAAGGTCCTTCCCCAGCCCAAACTCTTATATTGACATTATATTCAAACTTTATTTTTTTGTTCTTTCAAAAACAGTCTATTACATGAGAAAGGAGTCCTGCTCTGTGGGATAAAGCACTGGATTGCAAGGTTAGTTTGAAACACAAGGTCACAGTTCAAGGTCACCAGCCGCTCCTTGGAAACCCTACACAGGGTTGCTATGAGTCGGAACTGACTCGAAGGCATTTCACCACAACAACAACAATATGAGAAAAGCTGAGCTGAAAAGCCTGTTTCTTTACCACAAGAGTTGTTTTCATGCCAGTCACATAGAAAAAGTTAAAGAAGTGTGAAGAACAAGGATAATTATGTAGTCATTTTGAAGACTACCCCAGATGCCCCAGAGTGGTAGTCATACTTACTCTTATATTAAATCCTAGAAGATCACTAATAACCCCTGAGACAGCAGAAAGGATAACTACTCGTGTGATATTGTAGATCAAGGGATTCACTGTCAGCCCGTACAGTCGAAATGGTGTGTCCAGTTCCTGAAAAAAAAAAAAAGATTTACATGGTTTCTGAGTAACTATCAGTGATTTTGTGGCCATTTTTTTAAAAAGCTTCGTGTCAGAATGACTGATTAAGCTCTTACTGTTTAAGGGTTCCCATCAAAAAATCCCTAATGTGCTCTTACCTACTTGTCCACTAGCTAAACTCTTTAAGAGGAGTCCCGGTGTAGCATTGTAGGTTAGTGCGCTGGACTGCAAAGTTGTTTGAACCATAAAGTCAGTGGTTCAAGCTCACCAGCTGCTCCTCAGAAACCTTACACAGAATTGCAATGGGTGGGAACCAACTTGACGGCACTTAAGAACAACAAACTCTTTAAGAACTCCTGGTGTGGCACTGTAGGATAAGCACTGGACTGCAAACCATAAGGTCAGTGGATCAAACCCTCCAGCTGATCCTCGGAAACTCTGTACAGGGTCGCTACGGGTCGGACCCGACTCGATGGCACTTAACAACAACAACAACAACAACCAACAACAACCAACACTCTTTAAGCCATGGTGTTTTCAATAACCTCATATACATATGAAAGTTGGACAGTGAATAAGGAAGACCATAGAAGAATTGATGCATTTGAGTTATGGTGTTTGGAGGAGAATATTAAAAGTACTATGGACTGCCAAAAGAACAAACAGATCTGTGCTGGAAAAAGTACAGCCAGAGTGTTCCTTGGAGGCCAAGATGGTGAGACATCATCTCTTGAACTTCAGACATACTGTCAGGAGGGGCCAGTCCCTGGAAAAGGATATCATGTTTGGTAAAGTGGAGGGTCGGAGAAAAAGAGGAAGACCCCCAGCGAGATGAATTGGCATAGAGACGACAGCAATGGGCTCAAGGAGAGCAATGGTTGTGAGGTGGATGTTAGTCTGGGCAGTGTTTTGTTCTGTTGTGCATAAAATTGCTATGAGTCAGAACCAACTCACTGAACAACAACAACAAAAAGCTAAGGTCAATTTCAGAAATATGTCATTTGTGGTAGAAAATGTAATTTTAAAAATCCAACAGACATCAGCAATCATCAGAACCTAGGTAACAAGAAAATTTTTTTTATATACAGTCATTAAGCCAGCACTTTCAGGTCAGCATTTCGAATTTACATAGTCTAGAACCGATCAGATAGTAGGGTCTTTTCCAAGATATAAACCATTGATTTAATTTAAATGGTTGTAAAAGTGTGTCCTGGTATCATAGTGGGCTAAGCATTGGGCTGTTAACCAAAAGGTCAGCAGTTCGAACCCACCAAACACTCCCAAGGGGAAAGATGAGGCCGTCTGTTTCTGTAAAGATTTACAGATTCACTATAGCGCAGTTCTGCTCTGACCCGCCGGGTCACTGTGAGTAGAAATGGACTCCACGGTAGTGGGTTTGTTTGTTTTTTTTTTTTGAGACAAGTGGACCATAGGATGCTACTTACTTTCAACAACTTGGTGGACAGCTTCAATACATTGTTTACTAGAGTCAGCTGCTCTTTCTTATTTGGCTTCTTTTCCATCTTAAGATACAAATTAATCTAAGGAAAAGAACAGGAGGTAAGGAAAATTTCACAGGAAAACAAAACATTCATGGCATTAAATCTGGCAAATTTTGAGGGTAATGTTTTCAAGTAAAATTAATTTTCAAAGCCCAACAGCCATTTATACAGAATGCATGTCACACACCATAGCCCCAAACCTAATCAGTCAGGTCTCTGCCAAGGAAACACTACATAATGAAGACAAAATAATGATGAAGCAATTGAAATATCAAAGGGATAACAAATTTATTATTAGTTATAATATAACTTAATTAGCATGCAAACCCCATGAGGTCTAAAACTATGTTTTATTCATCTTGGTATCCCCCAAATAATCTAAGATCCTCATCATATATTTCTGGAATGAGAGAGGATAGCTGCATTTAAGTTACAAATCCTTTAATTCCTTATTTAAAAAAAAAAAAAAAAAATTCATGGCATTTAGCAACAACATAATTCTAAGACCAAAAAGAAAAAAACTCATTTTATGATAGCAAATGTTTTCATTTACAGCATATAGCTAAACTTGAATTTTTAAAAAAGTCTTTTAAAACTTTGCATCGTAAGAAAAAGTTCTCAAGCTCATCTATCCACATACTGAAAAGTTAAGTTTTTCCAAACATTGAAATATGTATTCCATGAATCAGACTGCTAACCTCAAGGTCAACAGTTTGAAACTACCAGCTGTTCCACGGGAGAAAGACGAGGTTTTCTGCTCCTGTAAAGATGTACAGCCTCAGAAACCCTGTACAGGGGCGCTATGAGTCGGAATCAATTCCACAACACATAACCACCACTACCATCACCATGACTAACACAAAAGAAATTCAAGAAGCTTATCAAACATTTAAACTACAAGTTCTCTAAAGATCTAATACTTGATGTAGAATATGAGATTAAAAGCCTCATGTCCACAAATAAAAATACCTTTGTTGTTGTTGTTATGTGCTGTGGAGTTGGTTCTGACTCATAGTGACCGAGTACAGGGTTTCCATGGCTGTAAATTTTTAAGGGAGCAGAAAGCCTCACCTTTCTCCCACGGAACAGCTGGTAGTTTCGAACTGCTGACCTTGCGGTTCGCAGCCCAATTCGTAACCACTATGCTACTAGAGCTCCTAAAAAAATACCTTTAGAGAGTACAAAATACTTTATTTAAATCATTAGATTTGAAGTTTCACAATCCTGGAAGCAAGCAGGGAGGCTATTATCCTCAATATATAAAAAAGAAACACATATATGACAACAATACTGAGGTCATACAATAGAAAGTGGTAAAAATGTAGACTTCACTCTGATTTCTCTAAAACAGATATTGTTATAAAACAATATAAGATTGTTATAAAACAATATCTGTTTGATAAGCATCTTTAATTTCGTTTATATCAATCATAGAAAACATATTTTGTGAAAATCTTTTCAAGATGTGAGTAAATGAGCTTGAGAACTTTTTCTTATATATACAGCCTTTTAAAACATTCACTTGATTTTAAATCAACATTGTTTTGCTGTTTTTCCTTTTGGCTAGAAAACCTGAATCTAGATTTCGTAAGAAAGCTACCTTTTAGGCAATTTACACTAGAGTTTACTTATAATTAAACTATCATGTTACTTTCAGAGACTTTTAAAAATAGAATTTATTTTTTTATTGTTGAGAATACACACCACTTCAGCAGTTTCTACAGGTATAATTTAGTGACACTAATTACATTCAAGTTGTGCAGCCAATTTTGCTCTCTTTTCTGAGTTGTTCCTCCCCCATTAACATAAACTCACTGCCCCTAAGGTTCCTGTGCAGTTCTTAGAGTTGCTATTGTCAATTTGATCCCATACAGACAGACAGACTGTAAAGGAGCAAACACTCAAGGCAGACATTCTTTAGGAGTTAAGCTAAAGTACTGTCTGGTTTTATGAAGGTTCCAATGAGTATTTCTGGTTTAAGATCTAAAGATTATCTCAGGGCAATAGTTTCAGACATTCATCCAGCTTCTGTGGTTCCAGGTAACCTGCAGTCCCTGAGAATTTGAAATTCTGTTCAGTATCTGTCGCATATGTTCAGTAATGGTAGCCTGGCACCATCCACTTCTGTCTCATGGCAAAGGACGCAGTTGTTCAATTAGCCACACATTGCATTTCCTCTGCGTATTCCTGCCTCTTCTTCTTTCTCTGTTGCTCCAGGCAAACAGAGACCTATAGCTGTGCACTGGATGGCTGATTGCAAGCTTTTACAACCCCAGGTAGTACACAGCAAACTAGGAGGTAGAACAAGCATTAAACAACTTCTTACGTCAGTTAACTGGGATGTCACATGAAACCACGATCCTAAAACTCCAAATTAGGGAACCAAATCCTGGGAGGAATTTGTAGATAAACAGCCCCAGCAGCTCTTCTCCTTGTTGTTGTTGTAAATATGAGGGGGGTTCAAAAGGTCATGGAAAAATGGAATTTGAAAATAATGGAATTTTCCCACAAACTTTCTGAACTCCCCTAATATAGCTATCACACAATTTTTGTAGTATCTATTATTATGTTTCATAGGTGTACAATGTATTGACAACAATTAATCAGCTATGCAACTCTATCCTTAATCAATTCCACATAAATTTTACAGTATTATTATGCTACCTCTAGCCAGTGAAGCAAACCAACCTCTTACCAGGGACCAATCAATACCTGTTCAGTAAGTAATATCGACACATTGCTGTATTTCTTATTGGTTTCAGACCCCAGGGAGACCAGGCGCAGTAAGAAAAGCAATAAAGCTGATTCCCAGATCAAAAACTCCCAATTATAAGCATCATTAAGGAAAGTTTTATGTCCTCGGAGAACCTATAGAAAGGACCAAACAAGTTATGTTTTTCATTTGTCTTGAGATCGTGTAACTATTACTGTTTTGCTCTATCCATTTGAAAAAGCATTTGCAAGAAACCATTATTATAAAACTCAAAAGAGAGGAGCTTTAATACTCAAAGTATCTCTAAATTAATCATTATGTATTAAAAACCCTTCCCTCTAAGTTTTTCAGATTTTCTCCTTTTCATGGAAATGACAAAGGAAGAAAACATAGTAAGATAAATACATTGCCAGGTCTTTTAACCCCCAGGACGTCCACTCATAACTGTATACTGACAGCTGTTTAAAGCATTAAGTTTTCAATATGTCTAGTAAAGTTCCCTAAAACATGTGGCCCACCCCACTGCTTTTAAAATCTGACTATTTTATGCCTTATATATAAAAGATTCCAGGCTCAGTTCTGTACTCCATTTTAGGGTCTAAATCTCAGCAGGAGCAGCAGCAGGCACTATTGACTGACGAACTGTTGTATGTCAAGTTTTCTGGAGCAAAAAACACCTTTCTCTTTTTGTTGTTGTTGATTGAAACTTTTTTGTTCATTGAAACTTGTTCAAACAAGCCCAAGTTAGGACAGAATTTATTGGAAAATATACAGAGAACTCTCAGAGAAACCAGATACAAGCCCTTTGAGAACCAGAAGTCACCAAGCAATTGCTGTCCTCATCTCTCTTCCCCTAGCCTTCTTCTGATCTGTTTAGGAAGAGCCAATAGTCAAGGATAAAGCAAAGCATGGAGAAATGGAACAAAAAAAGACAGACCGAAAAATCCACAGGCAAGTTTAAAAGTAAAGACAAAGGTATATCAACAAAATGCTTAAAGAAAGAAGAAGAGAAGGGAGGGAGAAAGAAGGAAAAGAAAAAAGGGAAAGTCAGAAAAAGAAAAGATGAAAGAAAGAAAAGGAAAGGAATACAAGAGATTGTCCAAATGTGTGACTGAGGAGATTTAAAAACAGTGAAGCTCAATGAAGTTGACTAGGATTTGGTCTCAGGGTGCCCATAACTCCAATATAATTATAACTAAATGGCGTGCCACTGCAGGATCAGCACTGGACTGTGAACTGCAAGATCGGCAGTTCAAACCCACCAGCTGCTCTTCGGAAACCCTATACAGGATGACTATGAGTCAGAACCGACTCAACGGCTCTTAACAACAATAACAAACACATATAAATTGTTAATTTTATAGAAATAGGACTGAAGAATATATAACAGAAAGAGAGGGCTGTATATGGGGTCTAGGAAAGGAGATGCCAAAGACAATTTACCAGTATCTAGTACTACCCAGGGGAGATGTCAATGAGGCTACTCAAATATTGTCTCTAGGAATGATCTCTACTAGGAGCATGTACTATGTCCCAGCCACTTCTATATGGACTGACAATTTTGTTTCTAACTCTGCAGAGCACTCTGTATTTCAGCCATGTTAACATGTAATTCTTCAAACTTGAAAGAAAGAGAAGGAAAGAAGGAAACTGTACATGTGGTGGGTACCCTCTGTCTCCCACTCTTCTTCCCACATCCTTCCCTTTCACCCCTGCATTTCACAGGCTTCTATTTATCACTCTGGTCTCCATTTAAATATTATCTAATCAGGAAAGTTATCATACCCTAAAATGTATTTAAGTCCCCCAAGTATGTGCTCCCAAAGCACCCTAAATTCCTCACTCTTCATATCCATTAAACAATATACTAATTGCTATACTGTAACGTATTTACAATTCAGTAACTGCTGTACTGTAACACAGTACTGCAATACAGTCATTCGTATCTATCTTTGCTGTTACATTCTAAGCTCTGTGAGGGTAGAAAACTGTCTTTCCTGCTCCCCACTGTATTCCAAGGGCCTAACTCAGTGCTGTCATTCACTCATTTATTCACTCACACAACCTTCAACAAATATTTTTTGAGCACTGAATATAGCAAGTATTTGTTAAATGAAAACTGCAAGAGGAAATAAAATCTTCTGAGGAAAAGAAGCTGTGCCTATACATGAAACTTACAAAAAGGACCCCAAAAATCTAGGCTCTTTCCTTCTCTTCCAAGGGAAATTTCATCTAAAAGAGGATGTGATGATTGTTGCTAGGTACCATGGAGTCCATTTCAACTCAAGGCAACCCTGAGTACAACAGAACAAAACACTCCCATGGCCTGAGCCACCCTCACAATCATTGCCACATTTAAGGCCACTGTTGTAGCCACTGTGTCAATCCGTCGTATTGGGGTCTTTCTCTTTTTTGCTGACTCCTCTGCTTTACCAAATATGATGTCCTTCTCCAGTGGCTGCTCCCTTGTGCTAACATGCTCAAAGTACATAAGACAAAGCCACATCATCCGTGTTTCCAAGGAGCATTCTAGTTGAGCTTCTTCCAGCACAGATTCATTCATCCTTCACATGCAGGGATTCCTTCTTTCATATTCATTGTTCAGTTTTCACATGCATACAAAGCAATTAAAAATACTCTGGCTTAGGTCAGGAACACCTTAGTCCACAAAGTGACATCTTTTTAATATTGTAAAGAGGTCTTTTGCAGCAGATTTGCCCAATGCAATATACATCATTACAGTAAATACTTCAATTCCTCTTCAATTACAGCAAGCAAAGTCATGTTATCTGTCTATTTCCGGTTGTTAATGAGTCTATCTCTAACTCTAATAGAGCATTCTTCTTTATATACTCCAGCTTCTCGGATGATTTCTTCAGTATGCAGATTGAATAGGTATAGTGAAAGGATAATTTTCTTAATTTTCAACAACACAGTATTGTTCTACTCAAACAACTGCTTTCCTTGGTCTAGTATAGTAGGTTCAGCATGAATTCCCATTCTTTCCAATGTATTGTTATCTATATTATGATCCACACAGTCAAATGCATAGTCAGAAAAAGACAGATAAGCATCTTTCAGATGTTATTGTTACTGTCAGATCCAGCCCTCATTTCACATCCTCTTCTGGATCTGGTTTGAATTTCTGCAGTTCCCAATCAATGTGCTCCTGCAACTGTTTAAAAATTATCTTTAATAAAATTTACTTGCATGTGATATTAAATGGTATATTCTATAATTTCTGAATTCTGTTGGGTCACCTTTTTGGAATGGGCAAACAAATATGGATCTCTTCCTATCTATTGCCAGGTAGCTCTCTTCCAAATTTCTTGGCATAGATGAGTGAGTGGCTCCAGTCCTGCATCAGCTTGTTGAAAGATTTCGTTTTTGTATTTCATCAATTCCTGGAGCCTTGCTTTTCACCAGTGCCTTCAGTGGAGCTTTGACTTTGTGTTTCACTATCATTGGTTCTTGAAATGGTTGAACATCTACTAATTCTTTTTGGTAGAGTGACTCTGTAGTCCTTCCAGTTTCTTCTGAAGCTTTCTGCATCATTCAATATTTTGCCCATAGAATCCTTCATTATTGTTAGTCAAGACTTAAATTTTTTCTTCAGTTCTTTTAGCATGAGAAATGCTGAATGTATTTGTCCCTTCTGGTTCTCTAATTCCAGGTCTTTTGCATATTCAATTACAATACTTTACTTTGTCTTCTCCAGCTGTCCTTTAACATTTTCTGTTTAGCTCTTTATCCTTACTTCTGTTAGCTTTAGATTCTTTCTATTCAAGAGCAAATTTCAGAGTCTCTTCTGATGTCTATTTTGGTCTTTTCTTTCTTTCCTGTTGTTCTAATGATCGTTTGTTTTCTTCATGTACTATATTCCTGATGTCATCCTACAACTAGTCTGTGGTCTTCAGTTACTAGTGTTCAATGCATCAAATCTATGCTTGGGATGGTCTCTTGATTCAGGTGGGACTTTAGCTCTTGTGAATTGCTCTGATTCAGTTTCAACATGAACTTGTATATGAGTAAATTGATAGCCTGTTCCATAGTCAGTCCCCAGTCATATTCTGAGTGCCTTCTAACCTGAAGGGACCATCTTCCAACACTCTACCAGACAATGTTCTACAGCTACTCAGAAGGTTTTCATTGGTCATTTTTCTACAAGTAGATCACCAGGCCCCTCTTCTAAGTTTGTCTTTGTCTAGACGCTCTTTAAACCCGTCTAATAAATCCTGGTGTGGCACTGTGGGTTAATGCGCCAGACTGCAAAGCTGTCTGAACTGCAAAGTCGGTGGTTCAAGCTCACCAGCTGCTTCTTAGAAACCCTATACAGGGTCACTATGGGTCGGTATCGACTCGACGGCACTTTCCAACAACAACAACAACAAGGAGTCCTGGTGTGGTGCTGTGGGTTAATGTGCCAGACTGCAAAGTCATTTGAACTGCAAGGTCGGTGGTTCAAGCTCACCAGTCGCTCCTCAGAAACCCTGTATAGAGTTGCTATGGGTCGAATCCGACTCAACGGCACTTAACAACAAACAACAAGGAGCTCTGGTAGTGTAGTGGTTACGAATCGGGCTGTGAACCACAAGGTCAGCAGTTCGAAGCTACCAGCTGTTCCGCGAGAGAAAGATGAGGCTTTTCTGCTCCCGTAAATATTTACGGCCTCGGAAACCCTGTACAGGGTCGCTACGAGTCAGAACCGGCTCCACAGCACATAACAACAACAACATGAGTAACTCTGCTGATATTTGAAATACCGAAGACACAGCTTCCAGCATCATAACAACACGCAAGTCACAGTTCAACAAACTGACAGCTATGTAATAGAAGCGTATAGAAGCTACCACAACAAACAAAGACTTAACCACTTGACGTAGAGATCTGTCTAGTTCAACAAATAATGACTCCTCTTCTCAGCAAAACCAGACCTGAGAGGAAGATAATGAGCAAAGAACCAAGGAATTCTTATAGAAAGAACACCTGATAATACACCCTCCCTGCAGGTGAGCTGGTATGAAGATAGCATGAAAAGAAAACAAGGCATTACTGAGTGGTGATAGGAAAAAAAATTAATATTAAGAGTAGCTTCTCTCTCACATCCTGAGCAATAGAACATGGAAAGTATGTTCCTTTGATGCAATGGGGGTACACAGGAGTCCTGGTGTGGTGCTATAGGATAATCACAAGGCTGGTGGTTCAAACCCACCAGCCGCTCCTTGGAAATCCTATACAGGGCTGCTATGACTTGGAACCAACTCACAGCACTTAACAACAACAACAGTGGTATCAAAGAACCTGGTTAAGAACAGTGTCATGAGTTCTGATTCACAGGAGAGCTCAGTAATTGGTCAATGGTAACTTTTCTCCAGGGAGTGTCTCTTTCCTAAGTCCCCCTCCTAAGAAAAAGGGGGAAAAAATGAAAAGGTAAAAGCTAGAGCTCAAGAAGCCAGATATAGTCTGACCTAGCAGTCTCCAGCTTCAAAACTTTTTTAAATATAGAAAGAGAAAGAAGAGGGAGAGAGACTCAATTTAGTCATTATAGCCTCTGGCTAAAGTAAGTGCTACAGACCCCATGCCCTGTCTGCCTCTGGTAACACTCAACACTGGCTAAATGTTTCTTTTCACTCTCTGCCCACCTCCTCCGTAGTGCATAGGCAAACTCTGGGACTTTCCAGGGGATAAGGTCACTGGGGGAGAGGAAATTTGTGCCTCTATACTAATGCTAACCAATAGAAATATTTGAGTCACACATCATTTTAAATTTTCTATAAGCCATATTTAAAAAGTTTTTAAAAAGGTGAAATTAATTTTAATGTCTTTTATTTGACATAATATTTTCCAAATGTTGATAATAGAAAAAATTATTATTGAGCTATTTTATTTTGTTGTTGTTGTTGTTATGTGCCGTGGAGTCAGTTCTGACTCATGGCGACCCAGTACAGGGTTTCCAAGGCTGTAAATCTTTACGGAAGCAGAACGCCTCATCTTTCAACCGCGGAACAGCTGGTAGTTTCAAACTGCTGACCTTTTGGTTCACAGCGCGATTCGAAACCACTACGCTACCTTTTGGGAGGTATTATTTTTGAAATTTGGTATTTTACCCTTACAGCACATCATCTATTGAACCAGTCACATTTCAAGTATTCAGTAGCCCACACAAGGGCCAGTGGTTATTAAAGTGACTGGAACAACACCCTACTATTTATTGTTCAACTGCACTAAAAAGTATCTCTGGGAAACAAGCATACAGCAACACTATAAACACATAACAATATACCTTGTCAGAGAAAGATACAACAGATAAAAGTATCAACAGGAAATGTAAACCCCTGAAACAGAATAAATGATGTGGCTTCAAAAAGTTCATGGAAAAATTCCAGTCTCTTTTCATTCAACTTTTCCACTAATTTTTTGAAGCCCCTCATATAACAGCTATATCATCAGTCAAAAATGACCATCTAAAATTAAATTAGAGTGATCTTACAGTCTCAAAGAATTTCAAAATTACCTATAAAATGTTTCAAAAAGTTAGCTAAATCAACAAATAATCCAATGTAGCAAAGAAACACATTAAATATTAAAAAACTGACTACACCTAAGAAACACACAGTGACCTGTTCTAAAACTGGAGGTGAACCCAGTCACAGGATCTCCATTTTCCATTAAAACAGATAAAGCATTTACCTGCGCACAACAAATGAAAGCAATCGAGAGCGTCAGTAAGAAGACAGATGATACGACCACATCAACTGAACGCTGCGGGCCCCGTCTCTGTGGAGTGAGACACGTATGTTAGTGTTTTACATCACTGTCCCGGGCAGCAAGTCTCCATACAGGACTCACATTCTTAACTCTATAGTATTCATGTGAAAATAAATGTTTACAGATACAAGAAGTTTTAATTAAGCACTGAAATCTATAACATTCCCCACAGAACTGAAAAAAAAAAAGGCAGTATTTATTGCTATACCCTCAGGAACTTTACATTTTGTTTTCTCTCTCTAGGCTCTATTTCCTTATCCCTAGGAACCCTGGTAGCACAGTGGGCTTAACACGGGGATGCTAACTACAAGAATGGTGGTTCAAACCAACCAGTCACTCTAAGGCAGAAAGATAAAAAGCGGTCTGCTCCCATAGAGCCTTGTGGTCTCAGACACCCTGCAGAGAAGCTCTATACTCTGTCCTACAGGGTCACACTGAGTTGAGACTGACTTGATGGCAGTGGGTCTCTTGGTTATCAGCTTTGCTGGTAGATAACTTCTAACTTCAGATCCAGAAAGTGTGTCCACCATTGATCTAATCTTTACAATATACAAGACTATATGGTCTGAGAAACTGCTTCAGGAAACCAGTGAGTACCTTCTCTGCATATTCTTACATATATCCTATTGTTAATCAAATAAAACTCACCTTTAGATAGGAACGAAGTGATAACCATATCTTAATGTTCTCTACCTTTTTAAGTCTGAAATGAGGTATTTCATATTTTCTAGCTTTCCTTGCAGATGTAATATGGCTGAAGAGTTTTGCAAATAAAAATCTCTAGAGGAGGTTAAAATAAAAATCACCAAGTAAGATGTATGTTATATGCCTCTGTGTGTTTAATTTAATAATTGTAAGCAATAGTCGCAGCATATTAAAAATATCAAAAAGGATGGAATTCTAACCAGTGACCACAAAGACTGGTAGTAGAAACAATTTATCAACTAGTTCATTACTCTGTTGCTTCAAAAGTACGCTATATACTCTGTCACAATATTGTACACTCATGATACTTGCAAGGCATATTCTTTGGAGATCCAACTTCACAAAGTCAAGGTTTCTGGTTCTCTCCCCAATGATGTTTCCTGTCAAAATTCTGTATCTTGTGCATATCTTCAATATTACATCCTCAACCCATCACTCTTACCAAATTTCAATGCATTTATTTCTCATGTGGCCATTTGTTTGTAAACACATTATCACTTTGAGAATTACTACATATGCTGCCAGATAAATAAACAGCAAAGGCATACTGAGGTGCAAATGTTCAGCCGTCTGGTAGGCTCACTCAATGGCTAAGCCATTTACTCCTACACACGAGGCTCAGCAGAAATTTTGGGTCACCATATGCCATTTGGAGTCCTGGTGAGGGGCTATAGGTTAAAGTACTGGACCACAAAGCTGGTTTGAACCACAAACTAATCATCTGCTCTTTGGAAATCCTATACATGGTTGTTATGAATTGGAACTGAATCCACAGCCCCCAACAAAAGCAACAACAACATATGCCATTCATAATGAGAGTCAATTTCACAAACATTATATCAATATGTACAAAGAGTTTACTCCCAATCATTCATTGATCATATTAACTACTAGAGAAAAAAAAATACATGAAGAAAATAATAACACTGCAATGGAATGTCACATGCAAAAACAGACACAGGAAAATTTACTTTTCTACTGACCTGTTTATATGTTCGCTCTGCCACACACATCATAAAAAAAAACATCCAAGTAAGACACAATCGTTCAAAAAAATTAATTAAAGACAAGATAATAATAGGTATAACTGGTGGTGCTCCACAAAAGAGAGTCAAGACCTCCTCAGCAGAAATGGATTTCAGCTGGTCAAGGCTCTTCGCACGGAAAAGTCGGTGTACAAAAGGAAAAAATGCTAATCCAATGGTGACGACATTTCCCAGCATCTGATAACCTACTCCTTGCTGATATGCATTGACCTGGGATTAAATTTAAAGTTTCCATCATTACTGCATAACCAAATTAAGTTGTAGGGCAGTATTATCAATTGTTATTTTGATGATCAAAAGTAGATATTTAGAACTAAGCATCTTAAATGACATACACATGACTTGTAGACATTATTAAGAATTAAGATTATATGAGATGAGGCATAGTTGTGAAGTATAACTGAGCCATTAATCATGCTAATAGAGATCATATTAAGTATAAAGAATAAAAAAACATACTACCAAGTACAAAAATCTAAATATATCTGAAATGAGGTATTGATGCATATGTATGTGTGGACTTCCAGTGTGGCATTGTAGGATAAGTGCAGGCCTGCAAGGTTGGTTTGAACCACAAGGTTGGCAGGAACTTTACATTTTGTTTTCTCTCTCTAGGCTCTAATTCCTTATCCCTAGGAACCCTGGTAGCACAGTGGGCTTAACACGGGGATGCTAACTACAAGAATGGTGGTTCAAACCAACCAGTCACTCTAAGGCAGAAAGATAAAACCTGTCACTCCCTGGAAACCTTCTACTGGGTCGCTATGAGTTGGAACCAACTCAATGGCACTTCACAACAACAACAACAACATATGTATGTGTGTGTGCTTCAAAAGCAGAGTTCTAATGGTTTTGACCATTAACTGGATTCGATAAAACAGCTGCTTATCACTAAGTAGATTATTTAAAAGTCTGCAAACGTATTAAACCTTACCCTGCTCATAATGATGCCACTTATTTCCAACACAGACATATCCATCTTTTTGCACTCATTCCCTTCCCAGATTATTGCACTAACTCGTTCAGAGGCAGGACTTGAGTTCTGAAGCCAGAATAAGTGGTTCTGAGAAGAAAAAATATATAATTGTTTGCATCCATTCTTTCTTTCCTCCATTAGTTTGTCACCCTTTGCCCAGATCCCAGGCGACATTTGCCAATGTTCAGTTTAATAGTTTTAATATCTCCCTCGCAGACTCATCACTCCAATTACCTCAAAGATGCTGATTTCTGGTCCTTTTAAAACCTTTTCTCTTATTTGCATAGAGGCTAAAGGTCTTCTCTTCTATAATAAGAAGAGATAGGAGTCCAGGATCTCCAAAGTTGCTAAAGATACAGAAGTGAGGATAAGCTGGTTGTATTCATGGGATACTGAGGAAGAAAACATTTCTAGGACAAGACCACTCTGAGAGTAGTAGGCAGTGTTAGGTAGGAGAGATGCTAAGAGGCCTTCCATATTGTGCTGTGAATGACTGAGGTGTTACCCTGATAAACAGGACACAAAAGAGCATAAGAATTCAAGAGCAGAAAGTCATAATAAAACAACCCCACCTCCCACTGCCATATCATGCCTTATTCTTCAAGTGCAAGTTCCATTTCTCCACATGGTCTTCTTTGACCTTCAGGAGCTTCACTACTTTTGCTCTTCTCTGAAATTAAAAGTCTATTACCAATCTAATTAACATCAAATTATATGCAGCTTCTATAGGGTGCAGCCAGAATGCTCCTTGGAGGCCAGGATGGCTAAGCTTCGTCTCTCATACTTTGGACATATTGTCCGGAGGAAACAGTCGCTGGAGAAGGCCGTCATGCTGGGTAAGGTGGAGGGTCAGAGAAAAAGAGGAAGACCCCTAACGAGATGGATTGGCCAGGTGGCATCATTGATGGACTCAAGTGTGGCAGCGGTAGTGAGGTTGGCCCAGGATCGGACATTGTTTCGTTCTGCTGTGCATAGGGACGCTATGAGTCAGTTCCGACTCGATGGCACCTGACAATAACAACAACAACTTATTTTCCATGTAATAATCCCGTCCCCAAACTAAAATTTCAGTTTCTAGAACAGGGCCATATGATGTATTTCTTCTCTTTCCACCACAATGATGAGCATAATGTGGAGCATTTATTGATTACTCACTGATTCATCGATTTACCCAGCAATTATTTACCAAGCACCTCTTCTGTTTCATGTACTGTGGATATAACAAAGAACTAAAAAGACAGATGTGGTGCCGCGGCATGAATTATTGAATGTCTTTTCTAACCAGACTAACTCCCAACAAACAATGCTCATGCCCTGCTGGGTCTGGATAAGAGAAGGTAGGAGAAGATACTGATTGGTGTTGTTGTGTGCCATCAAGTCAAGTCAGTTCAGACTCATAGCAAACCTGTATAGGGTTTCTGAGGAGCAGCTGGTGGGTTTGAACCACTGATCTTGGAAGCTACTGATAGGCTGACATGGTTCAGCTGTGGATGTTAAGAGTTCATTGTAATTGTAAGAACTTGAAAACTCCAGCATGGGTATAAATTGAGCCATCTCAAAAGAAGGAGGAGGGCTCTCACTACCATTAAAGAAGAGGCGTGTGTCCTTTGGACCCTGAGATCCTGGGCATCGAACCTCCTCTCCCCAGGGACAGAAAGCTGTGACAGCAGAGGAGAAGCAGCAGCAGCAGAACCAAGAGCCAGACTACTCAGAGCAGTGGGCTTCACACTCACAGAGCAAGTAAGCTGAGTGACTTTGGTAGGAGTGAGGTGTCTCTGGCATTTAATTGGAGGAAGTGAGGTTTGCTAACCCAAGAAGTTAGAGCGGAGTGCCTTCAGGTTGAGGTTTTTGGTGGAATGGTGTGTTCTGTGAACATTATTCATCAGCTCTAAAAGAGCACTGTGGAATCCTGATGTGGTGCTGTGGGTTAATGTGCTGGACTGCAAAGTCATTTGAACTGCAAGGTTGGTGGTTCAAACTCAGCAGCCACTCCTTGGAAACCCTAGAAGGGTCGCTATGAGTCAGAACTAACTCAACGACACTTAACAAGAACAAACAAAAACAGCTTTGTAACATTGGCCTGGCAGAGAGAGGCCTGCCTGTGGGCATGACTAAGGAGAGGCTCTCCTGACTGAAGAACTGTGCCCTAAGCATTTCTGAGCCTGTTAACAGCCCAGTAAACCCCGTAACTATGAGTGTGGTGTCTGAGTTCCGTGTGGTCACTGCAACAAATGATCAAACCCAGCTGAGTAGAGAGGACTGTGGGAGAAATGCTTGTTGCCATCACTTTTTTGCATGTGATCTTTCCTGTCATGGGAGTTTTCAGACTTCTGAAGGAGACATAATTAAATCAATAGCTGCGCCAGACTGCAAAGCCATTTGAACTGCAAGGTTGGCGGTTCAAGCTTATCAGCTGCTCCTCGGAAACCCTATACAGGGTCGCTATGGGTCGGAATCAACCCGGTGGCACTTAACAACAACAACAACACACAGCATGGTGGAGTCCTGGTGGAGTGCTGTAGGATGAGCACTGGACTGCTAACTGCAAGTTCAGTGGTTCAAATCCACCAGCTGCTCCTTGGAAACACTTTACCAGTTTGCTATGAGCTGGAACCAACTCAAATGCACTTAACAACAACATACAGCATGGTAAAGAAAGGAAAGAGTGCTTTAGAAGTACACAGGAACGGCTTCCTAAAGGAAGTATTATTTAAACCAAGACCTGAAGAATAAAAAGGAATGAGTCATGGAACCAATTACTCCAATGGACTAATGGAACACATGACTAATGGAGTCACGTGAACTCCATGACTCTGAGACCAGAAGCACTAGATAGTACCACTACCAGCTGCACCGAAAGGGATCACATTAGAACATCCCATATAAAGTTGAGAAAATATGGAATGAAACTCACAATTATTATTATTCTATGTGTATATATATCTATATGCCTATATAATCATATATAGGCATATAGATACAGATATAAATATACATATATATGTTGTTGTTATGTGCCATGGAGTCGGTTCTCACTCATAGCAACCCTGTACAGGGTTTCCAAGGCTGTAAATCTTTACAAGAGCAGAATGCCTCATCTTTCTTCCACGGAACAGCTGGTAGTTTCGAATTGCTGTCCCTGAGGTTTGCAGCCCAATTCATAACCACTATGCTACCAGAGCTCTCTCTCTCTCTCTCTCTCTCTC